CGAGTTTGTCGTTGTTCTGAAGAAATTTAAGCCTTAACACACCATGTGTGTCAAGCTGTCGTCATTGTGTTAAAGGAACACACAGTTCATGCCTTTTCATTTTATGACTGGGAAACAAGAAGCAAATGTTTTTTCTTGCCCCTCATTATCAACATATTTCTGCCATTTGAAAATCAGATTTTAAGAACAGATGAACATTGTTTACATTTGTGATTTGATAACCATCCTTCGTTCCGATAGTTTACGTTTCTTCAATTCTTCAAATGTCTAACATTTATCTAAGCACTTTGCGATTGACTGATCCGCACTGAAAGGAAATACCAATTTTACCTAGAGTACTCTTGTTTTTTTTTTCAGAAAGCGCGCTCATCACGTTTCCATCAAAGTAAGGCTCTAAATGTTCACGATGTTTTCCTAATGGGTTCAGCACTGTGCGGCCCTAGACGGAAAAAGGTAAGTTCTCAGAAAAATTCTATTAAACGTCACAAATGTGTCTGTACGCTGTTCCAGCAGGTTGGTTCGTCTTGGGTGGGTAACGAAAACGAAAACCCCTTCGAGACAGTTCTTACCAAAAAGGAAAGGACGTTATTACGAGAGACATTTCAGGTGAGACAAACCTATCTCACATGGGATGTAGAAATTGGCATTTCATATACATGTGCTATCCTTATCTCTCATGGCTAATTTTTGTGTACGAATCAATTCATTGAAATTTTTTGCAGCGGCTCGATGAGCCAAAGGAGATAGTAGGGACAATATTCGTCGATATTGTGAACGATATCGAACCGGATCTAAAAAAGGTACGTCGACGACAATTCAGTTGTAGTATTTTACAGCAAAAGGATTATATAATCCAAAACTCTAAATTTTTTATTCTGTTTCCTGGTTACATTCTTTAATTAGTTCAGTGCAAAAGTTCGTTTCTTGGATCACCCGCAAATCCCTTACAGTAAAGATAAGAAATACATTTGGGAGTACCAGATGCAGAATTTCGACTTCTTTCTGGCAGCTATCTCGATGTGATTATTTTGACTCGTGGAAGCTTACAACCCTACATTTTTACCATGTCTAACTTTCGCTAATTTTCAGAATTT